TCCAGTAGTGGTCTAGTACTAGTCCAGTAGTGGTCCAGTCATGGTCNGGTCCAGTCATGGTCCAGTAGTGGTCTAGTACTAGTCCAGTAAGGGTCCAGTAGTAAGAAGTCTGTTTGTTTGTGGAGTGATACCTGAGCAGGTGCAGAACCATCTGACACCATCATTTATATGAACTGTGTCATGTTTCATCCCGGCTCACACATGAAGCTGATAGGAGCATGTTTACACAACAACTGTTGTAAACAAACAAACAAACAAACAAACAAACAAACAAACAAACAAACAAACAAACAAACAAACAAACAAACAAAGGATGCTCCTGTCATCTGATGTGAGGCTGAACATCTGAGTTTACAGTGGAGCAGAGTGGGAACCATGTTTGCTTTTCATTTTCTGCTCTGGCCCAGGTCCAGACCACCTTGAAGAATGAACCTGAAGAGTCAGAGCAGCGTGTCTCACCACCAGGCGGCCGCAGAGTGAGGAGGAGGAGGAGGAGGAGGAGATATCGTGCGAGAAGAGCAGAAACTGAGAGCAGCAGGAGTTCAGCGTGCCCTCTTCAATAGGCTGTCTCAGTTACCAGCAGCTTGTCGTGTCACTCTTGTTGTGTGTTTGGTTTCAGAGGAACAAAGGCTTCCTCCACACATGATGTCAGTCAGAGCAGAGGAACCTTCACGGCTGCCTGACACCTCATCTGCTGCACGCAACGACTGGTGAGGTGACGACAGGCCTGCAGAAAGACTTCCCTCTATTGTCTGTTCCACACGCAGCTCTAACGTGCACACACAGCTCTAACGTGCACACGCAGCTCTAACGTGCACACGCAGCTCTAACGTGCACACGCAGCTCTAACGTGCACACACAGTGTAACTCGATGAGTTTGAACCTTTTTGTTTTTCCTAAAGTCAGTTAGCTGGCAGCCATCTTGAATCAGACTGACTTTGAAAGTTAATCAGTTCTACAGAATCATTTCTGACACATCTGGACTGATGTGTAGAATGTTAGTCAGCTGAGGACCTGAGAAGACCAGTCCTGGAGGACCTGAGAAGACCAGTCCTGGAGGACCTGAGAAGACCAGTCCTGGAGGACCTGAGAAGACCAGTCCTGGTGGTTTTGTAGGGACTGTTCCTTCTGATCTGATGGAAGCTTCTAGATGTTCTACGGTTGTAGATGGGAACGGATTGATCTAAAACCTATATCTTTCTACATTGGTGAAGTTTTCCCACTAATGCACCCCCATACCATCAGAGAGACAGGCTTTTGAACTTTGTGACTTTTAGAAATGATTGTGAGTAAAAATGTCTTCTGTTTCCTGAGATATTTCAGTTCCTGGTCCTTTGTGTGCTGGTTGCTCTCAGAGTAAACAAACATGTCATCATGTGGAACTGTTTATCAGTACGTTAGTCCGGATCAGAACTGGTCTGCTGTGCCAGTCGCTCTTTACCTGATCGTATAAGTCTGTGGAAACACTGGACCTGATCCAGGACAGAGCTCAGGTTCTGTTCTCTTTATAACTGGACTTCAGGGAATATTCTGTGAAATATTAGATCATTAAATGAGGTCATCTTAAAGTAATCATGACTTGACAGCGATCATTAGAGATCCTCAACAGTACACCTCCTTCTCTCACGCTAACATGCTGAGCCTATTTAAAGACACAAGGCAATTTTAGATTTAAATATTAAATAACAAACAGGCTGAAAATCATCTCAGCTGCTGCAGTTTATTACAGATTAACTCTGATGTTAAGAAATCTGACAAAGGAGCAAGTGGAGAGATGTTTTAAATTCTTCTTCCTGTCACTGACCTCCTGCAGCCTGCAGGTGTCACTCTGAGTCACTCTGTGTGTCACTCTGTGTGTCAGTCTGAGTCAACGTGTGTCACTGTGAGTCACTCTGTGTGTCACTCTGTGTGTCAATCTGAGTCAATGTGTGTCACTGTGTGTCACTCTGTGAATCACTGTCACTCTGTGTCACTTTGAGTCACTCTGTGTGTCACTCTGTGTCTCACTCTAGTGTCACTTTGAGTCACTGTGTGTGTCACTCTGTGTGTCACTCTGTATGTCATTCTGTGTCACTTTGAGTCACTCTGTGTGTCACTCTGTGTCTCACTATGTGTCTCACTCTATTGTCACTTTGAGTCACTGTGTGTGTCACTCTGTGTGTCACTCTGTATGTCACTATGTGTCTCACTCTATTGTCACTTTGAGTCACTGTGTGTGTCACTCTGTGTGTCACTCTGTATGTCACTATGTGTCTCACTCTATTGTCACTTTG